CATACATTTTCAACGATTGATGACCTTAAAAACAAAATAAAGTGTGTCTGGCTACGTACAGCCTTTTTCACTGTGGCAGTCGATGTGTTAATATTTTTGCCACTCCTGACTGATAACCTGTATTCACCCATGACATCTATAAATGTCAGATTTGCTTTTTTTCGTCACATTCGTTCTTAGAATAATTCCTTAAGCATTCTACATTCTCTATTAAATATATTTAAAATAGACGTTACGAGAACATCACGCTCGACGTTATAGAGTTAAATAGGCGCATTGGCAAAATCAGGAGTAGGTGCATGGGGTTTGTGGTGACCCCAAATTTCTTTATAAAATGTAAGTAAACCAATAGTTATTAAAGAATCAAAACGAATCAGTTTGACGATTAAAGTTTATTACTTTTGTAAGAAACAAAATCCAAATGAATAAATTGAAGTGGCTGTGATTCCGTGCGCCTACTTAGGAGTACCAATAAGTATTTTATTAGTTTCTTAATTATGAAGCAATGGATTTTAAACGGTAAATACCTTTCCGAGCCCTGACTGAGTAAAAATAGTGGAGAATGTTGTAAAGTTGTTATGAATGTAAATGAAATAGTACAGATTCTAGGCTTCCAGAAAGTCGAGTTCTGATTTCATTAAGTGAATCATGGGTCACTTCTTGGTACATCCAATAAATTGGTAAAACAGTTAAAGTTCAGTATATATGAACGTATGTACAAGTGGCACACTGCATTGAAGAACGGGGACAATTGTTATTGGAGCAGTACAGACTTTCGATTTCCTGAAAAATATATATTGAATTTTACAGCGATAAGTGGATTGTTTATTGGTAGAACTAATAACTGTCACATGTTAGGTTGCAAGGATTAATTCGATATACAATACTCTTGCACTGTTCGAGTCACCATGACCCGAAGCCAATGTTTGATTTTCAATTATACTTTTTACTACAAGAATTTGCAAATTAATTTGATACCAACACCTTACACATACTACAACCTAGCGACAGACAAATATATTTCCTTAATTCAGGTCCAATTTAATTCAAGGACTAGCAATGCAATGTTTTATTGAACGGTGAACGAGGACTGAACTTTATTCAAGATTTCACTCTTTTATGATCTCTGAAAAGTTAATTTTACCTCAGTATAAAGTATAAGAATACCAATACCACGAAGAATTCGAACGCGAGAACATTCTATCAGCGTATAAAAATTTTACGCATCGCGGGTTAAACATTTCTCCCACTTTCTCTCCGTCAATAACAGACGTCTGAAATGTAGCAGCTGGTTCGCGGTCAACGTCGCGTAGAGAGAAACGGTGGTCGCGCCGTTCCTTCATCCTTCGTGCCCGATGGATCGTTTCTTGCGACAGTTCCGGTATTCTCGGAACGCGGGACCAGTCGATTTCAATAGCCGTTCGCTTTCCAAACACGTCGAGAAAACCGCGAACGATTTTCCAACGTTTTTTTTTTCCTTTTCATGCCTCGACGTCTCCATTTTGCATCCGTGAATCATCGGAACCACGATGCCTCGATTTTCCATGGCGAGGCATCGTTTCCTCGACATAAAATAACAGATACACTTTTGCGACACTTCCTGTATTTCTGAAACGACCCCCGGCGATCGGTATCAATCGGCTCTCCACGCGAACAGTGCACGTATTTTCTAACGAACGATTCGCGAAGCAGCGTGAAATCTGAATTGGTGTGATATTTTTGAATAAGGAAATCGAGGAATTTTCATTGGATTCTTGTCTTAGGAAATATTTGTTCTGGTCCTTCAGAGATTGTCGTAGTTGTTTAATGATCTGATGTCAGTTGACACGTGATGTATGAATCATACGACGGCACTGTTGCGTTCGTTGATACAGTGATTGCTGGATTTCTTCATATATGATTAGTATATTTATATTTTCTTTTTAATGCAATTAATAACATTATTCCAATTTTTCAAATTAATATCTATACATTTAAAAAGGAGGTACAGATATTAAAAAATCTAATTCTCATAAGCCAAATATTTATTAATATTATTATCGTTTAAAATTTGATTGTAATAGTTGATACAGTGATTGCTGGATTTCTTCATATATGATTAGTATATTTATATTTTCTTTTTAATGCAATTAATAACATTGTTCCAATTTTTCAAATTAATATCTATACATTTGAAATGAAGGTACAGATATTAAAAAATCTAATTCTCATAAGCCAAATATTTATTAATATTATTATCGTTTAAAATTTGATTGTAATAGTTCCAAAATCTCTTAAGTGTTCATTTATAGTACTTCCTGATTATTTACTCAAGACCAACATACAAAATTATCACAGAGGATGGGGTCATGAGTAATCGAATCGGCGATCACGATCTTCGCGAGCTACGTGATCGGAAAGAATAAATAGCCAACCGGAAGTAACGTGCAACGTCTGACTATCATTCGACTTCCGGTATCAACGTCACCCACACGTCGAAAGAACGTCTCTAGAAGAAACGTTCGATCGACGTACGAGTCTGAATCCTCGTAGAAACCTGAATTCCGCGTCGAGATGGAAAATTGATTCGGTACACCTGTCGCGTCCTCAGATTACAGAACGTGATGGAACTATAAAAAGATTGGTCGTTCGATGGCGTGTTTACCGTCGAAAAGAATTGAAGGGGTCCATCGTGGTCAAGGCTAGTCGACCTTGAAGCATATTCGAGCACCTGGAATGTCGATTTCTGAAATCAGCGAGATTTTCGGAGACGCGACACACCTGAGATGTTTTTCTGTTGCCTTAAAATTCGCGGAGAAAAATGATCCAAGGATTTACCAAGCTGAGATTTTGAATGCTAAAACTATCGTTCATGCACGTGTATTAAAATTAATTATATTTAAAAAAATTATTAATTATGTCATTTATATGTTACATTAAAATCTAATAGAATACACGGTTATAAATGTGTATAATTTTTACTGTTAGTAAAACTTTGGTACATTTAGAACATGGATATAGATTTGTTTCAGTGGCTCAAGAATATAAAAGCTAATTAAATTCACTACTATCTATTCGGTTTCTGTAATATATAATTTCAAGCAACTGGTATTAAAAGATGGAGAATTAAACTATATCCTCAATACATTCTATAAATAAGTAATTATCTTCAAGTTTGGGAAAACTGATTAAAGAATAATTCACGTGTATGAACAGAAGTTACTTTTTATTTGGCCAATTAAATTTATGCTGATCTTTTTCTTGTCCTGATAACTGTATGAGTTATTTATATAATTGCAGTTAATTATTCCAGACGAATTTAGTTTCGTCTGCGGTATAAATTAATAATTTGGAATTCTTTATCATTCTGAATTAATTTCCAATTTACCACTTTTTTTATTGTGAAATTAATAATAGCTACGATTCTATTTCAGGAAGCAAGGAACAACAATCTGACCTGCCCGTACAAAATGAGGGTAACTCATTCTCTTCGAAGGCTCTAACACACTATCAAGATGTACTCCGAGTGGCAAAAGGTGAGAAGTTTTTTCATATTTCCTCTCCTTCCGACAACTTTTTTGTCGTCGTAAATTTCTTCAGTTGTTGTTAAGTACAATGACTTTGGTACTGTTCTATTGCAAACCTTTCTCTCAAGCAATAGTGCTTAAAAAATAAAGCATTATACTCTTTCATCACCGACTCACTTTATCCGTCCAAGTGAAATATATTGCTAGCATTTATCGTGAAATTACATAAGAATGATAATGGCTAATATACGTGGAATATTATTGAACTGATAAAATAAGAAAGTTTCATTACATTGTTAGATACCCATTTTCTAACTTTCATTACATTTTTGCACCGCATACATAATAAAAATCTATCTAGATTTATGAAAATGTGTTTATTATAGACCGATTTACAAATTTATTTTTATTTCATTTACATATATGTACATATACATATTATATAGCTAGATATGCCTAACTAAATCCATCTGTTTTATTAGCACATTGAATAATGTCAACCAACAAGATGCCTCCACTTTGTCATTATTTACGACGTGTCAATAATGATCCGTTTTATAAATGCATATGATCTTCCCGAGTATAATTTATAATACTTTCGCCGATAATCTACCATTAGAAAATACATAAACCTACTCTAAAAATCAGTCATCAATAATCTCTAGATACTTAATCATTAATCAGAGAATCCAATTATCAGACGCAATATAAACATCAACCAATCTCAATATCAGTTCTTTCTTATTTCAACTTAATAAACTCTTTAATTCCCAAAATAAATTCTCCTGTGGTACCAATGTTGTTGAAATAGCTTATGACAATCAGAATCTGGTGCAAGCATCCACAGTCATTCGTTTGTTTGGATACAAAGGTTCTACTTACGTGTCGAAAGATTTAACAAAGATGATTTTAATTGTCGAACAATGGAGTACTCACGGGTCATTGCGTTGTTGCACAATGTTTACGTGGTCAGGATCGTACCGGGGGATTGTTGCGTGGTCGGAGTCAATGATCTGTGCACACGCAGTTGCGTCGCCGTACGTAGGTACGAGAAGCCAGCCAGCCACTTTCGAATGCCTCCGCGCTTCGCGCCGTTTCGTCCGGCGACCTAATCGCGCGCCGTTCGCCGTCTGCGCGCCGCCAATACGGCCGCATCCACACTTTCCGTTCTCGCTTCGTTGCCCCGGACGATCGCTGGAAAAAGTGTAAAAAACAATGCGTGAAATCGATGGCAGACTCGTATTCGTGGAATCCGGCGGAACATGAAAATCGACGGGGGTAAATGGCGAATTCGCGAAGTGAAGAATATACTGGGTGTTCCAGTAGTCCCTTAACAGGATCGTTATTTCTTAAGAAACTGTTAAAGATATAAATATTCATTGTTTCTGATGAAAGAATCTTTCGTGTTGTGTAATAAATAACCTAGGGAAATATATTCGTCGTCGTTCATTGTTTGATTTAATAAACTTATATTCTTTACAAAGTTGTATTAAACCACGTTACACATCACCCCAGATAGTACATGACACCTTGAAGACGCTTTTAAGCCGTCTTCGAGGCTTAAAGAAAATATCTCTATTCCTTCTGATGGTACGTATTGTTAATATTTGTGAGCGTTTGGGTAAATTTGTAGTGTTTTTTGAATTCCTAAATTCTGTGGTATGGAGTATATATTTTTAAACCCTCTGGAGGTTATAGATAAAAGATGTCTACCAAACTTTCAATGCAATTCTCCATTTTTAAATACTTTTTATTTCAGTAGATATATAGACGAAATTTTCCCGTTATCAACAAAAAATTATTTAGAAGAAATTGACGATGTAAAAAATTCAATCCCTCTAATATTGACCTGACAACGTTTACTTACCGTACAAATAGGGGTTAATTATTTAATGAACAGTCGCGTGTGACCTATTCATTCGTGTGAACAGTAACTGAAGACAATGCTCCAGAAGAAGTAGAAAAGGGAAATTTATGGTATCAGTTTTTCTTCGACGAATTAAAAATAAAGAAGTACTACAGTCTTCGAATATTTTGAAAAGGGCCCATTCTAAGGGTAAAGAACTTCTGGTAGGATATTTTGCTTGAGGGACAGGATAACGTAATCTGCGATAACACGTATTATTTTCTATTATCACAATAGGAAACGTGGTGCATTAATTATCGCAGCTGAAACGACGTGCACGCTACATTACATCAATTTTCTATAATGTCGGTTACGCTACGCGACGACGACGTCTTCCTCAATTATTCCCAAGCTCATTACTCGTGATTGGACCCGTGTAATACTGACTCGGGTAAAAGTGAGAACGCAGGTAAATCTGTCTGAACGTTAGGGGAACGCATGCAAACATTTCTGACTTCTTATCATCAGTCGCCTTACCAAAAAATCCTTATATCTTATAATAATTCCAGAAAAAGGGAACTACCTTCTTCGTCCCTTATTCAAACATTTCTTATTAGTCCAACTTTCATTTTTTCATACTTTTTTATTTAGGAATTACTACTTTGGATAGTTTTTTCGAATTAATATATTTATTTAATTTCTCAATTTGTTTCCACTCTATTGGCAGTAACATTATCTACGATGTGTAAATATCAAGCTGTCAGAAGTTTTCGAAGCTACCAGATATTTGAATTTTATTGTTTTAACTGTTTCTTAATATTAAAGAATGATATTTTTTTCTACTTCGTTATCTTATCTACAGAAATTAAACATTTGTAAAAGATTGAGATATTAGACATTCCACTCATAAATACTATTATTTTTCAGAATCGTGTGATCACGTACAGTCAGATGAATTCCACAAGCTTTCCCAGCGCGTGATCTGTCTAAAACGTAACAGTAACGTTACTCGATCACTGATCTATCCAACGAGAAATTAGCTTCAGTCTGTCATTAATAAGGACAAGGTCACCACTACTTCTGTAACATCATGAAAAAGCTCACTGGACATTAGAAAATTTTTAATCCACAACACAAACATACAAATCACTGCCACCGAACAATAAAAAACATCTAACTAAGCGTGACCCAAATTCTAGACACTTGATTACTGAAAACCTCCCAACCCTTTCACTAAAATTGATAAGATCCAATACACACTACAGTCAACAAATAGCAAGTTTAACAAATAATTAAAAAAAAAATATCATTCCCAACGCGTTTAAAACAAGTCACAGTAGATGCTCCGATTTCTCGAGAAATCGGACTACAAAGTAATCCGAGAACCGGGTGAAACTATTATTCAATCCGAATCTTCTTCACGTCGGACTCGTATGAGCGTGATTCGAACGGTTCCGCGAACACAATCGGTTTTTACCATCGACAGCCCCGTCCGTTTCTGCAACTCGCCACGGTGGCTAGTTAGAGAACCGCTTCCCGTTCGCGGCTGGCTCAGCCTATATCCAGCTTGCTCCACGTAGGCGTACGCGTATTTAGCGCGTAATTTATATAAGAAGAGAGGCACGCTTGGTTCCACCCCAAAGCACTTCGATCCACTGGCGCCAGCACCTCTTCTTTCGTTGTTTCCATCGGTAATGCATGTAAACCGTTCCCTTGGTGCACGAAAGTCTCCGTTTCGCAACGTCCGATAGGGCCATTGAGCAACAGGTCGGATAGTCCAAGAAGGTTTTTTGAAAAAGGGAATACTTAAGGTCCATTTCCAAGAGGGACACGGTGGCCGAGATCGGTAAATTAGACGTTAGCATAATTAAAAAACGTGTACGCCACTGTGCACAGGCAGCAATTGTTGCGGAGAAGAGGCGTATAACTTCCAGTGTTGCATCGAACATCCTCGCGTCCGGATCGCGGTACCCGATTCCTCCTCGTCCACGGAACGAAAGCGATTTATTGTTAGCCCTCGATTAATCTTGGACCAATTTTTGGATGTTCGTCTGACGGTTCGTCGACTGGTCTATCGTTATCGCAACGTGCAGTCCATCGAGCTTCCGGTTGACCCCGTTTTGCTGATCGGTTTTCGCGAACAGGCAGTGGCCGCTGTTGAAAATCTGGAAATTCTTGCTGTGAATATCACAGGGGACTTCGATGGGTCTTTATTCCCACGCGTTCAGATTGGATATTTCGTGATGTTTATTGTCGAGCTCTCGTCGGTGCTATGTGTGAAACTGGCTTGTGAAACGAGTTGAAGGACAGCGAGATCGGGGGACGCAACGACGTGGAGAAAGAGAGAAGGACAGACGGAGGTGTTGGGTACGAGGATGGGAAACTATCTGTGACTGTCCGAGCCGTGGAATCCGATGTGAAATTTATTTACAATAATCTCTTTCGAGAAGATCGAGCGAAGAATGTGGATTGTGCGATGAAACAAACACACGGGCCATTTAAATCGAAAGGAACTCGGCCTCTAAGAAGCGTACGTCCAATGAAACCGTGCGCGCTCGTATTCCCGAAACGTCGCGTCGGAAGACCGTTAACGAATTCAACGCGAGCATCACGGATTTTTCGAGACTGGTGACCCAATGCGCTCGATAGTAAACCGTCTCGACGACCTCCTAACTTCTTTAAGCCGAATTTAAAATGCGTGACGGTGTTGCGCGGACCGATTGTCTCGAATCTTGACCGATCGTGATCGGTTTCTTAAACGAGTCGAGCCACCGCGGACCGTTTCGTGTTCGCTCGATAATTGCTTGTCATTTTAAAGGGAACACTGGGTTGTTTCGTCGGATGACGACCGCAAGGCTGTCCCGTGGACGACATTTCGCCGTCCGTAGATTCAGGACGATTGTCGAAGTAGTCGTAGGTACGTGACGAAATGCCGCGATCACGGTGACGTCGCTGGCGTGGAATGAAAGTAGGGGTCACTGACACCTGGATTTGACTAGGAGACACCTTTTCTCATCCTCGTCGACGATTTTACGAGCGGTGTCATGTTTGCAGAAGCTTTCTGCAAATAGAAAGAATAGGAGACAACAGGGGTCTTGTATGTGTTGACCTTGAACCCTGAAGCATCTTCTCTGGTTAGGAAGGATGGATACAGAATATTTTTGAACGTCACCCATAAGTCGACTTGACAGCCATTTCGAAGAAAAGATAATAAACGTTTAAATAAGAATTACTATACATTTCACGACTGAGTCATATTGCCAGAAGAATAACGGCGGATAAAGTTAACGTTTAATCTTGCTCGATAGCGTCTGGTTAGACAGGAAACTGGTCCCCAAGCAAACCCGTACTATTCAACCTGATAACAATGTCAGGTTCACGCAAATTCCCGGTACTCGGTGTTAATTGGTGTTAAACGAGACCGGCACACGCTGAAAATGCCGGCCGCCTCTGCTGAATTACGTGCTTCGTGGTCTGTTCGCGATTTAATTGGCGTTCCCGTTAGCGTAGTATTTAAAAATGTCTTCAACAGTACATTCCCATCCGTGGAACGTCTAAGCCATGCCTTCGACCGTTGTGTCCGATGACTTCGAGTGGTTCGCTAATTGATACCGGTTTCGGTGATAGAAAGTGGACACGGTTTGAGTGCCTCGAAAAATTTCTTGACGTTATTTCGACTCTCGTTTTCCTAAATGCTCAATTTGTCAACGAACCCTTGATAAGACAGAAGTGTCAGATTTTATAAGATCGTAACGAAACGATGTTGATAGAGAGCAAGAGTGACGATGAGAATCGATAATTGAAAGAATTTCAATTCGCATCGCGGATGATCCGTACGCGATCAGCGTCGAAGAAAGTCGGAAATGCAGATTAAAATCGACCGGTGACCTGGCGTGCGCAACATGGACACCGCGAGGACAGCCAGCATCAAGAAGCCCGAGCGCAGGTCTACGCGATCGTCGACCTCGAAGAATCGGTTTTCGTCACGAAACACGCGCTCGGAAGCTTTCTACGCCGGCGCGGAACCGTTATCCGTTCGACGCGCATTGCATAATTCCGCCGGCCCAGACCCAGATACGAATTCCGCTCCAAATTCCAGCGGATCGACGGAACGCGCGAGGAGGCATCATGCTTCCGGCCGAACGAGGAACCTGGATCCTAGGATCGCTGTGGAATATGGTCCTCGAGGCGGGAGGCCCGCCAATCAGGAGGTGTTCTACACTGTCCCGCGAGATCTGGCGGTTTCTAGAAAAGAAATCTTACGAAGATACAATAACGAGAGGGATGAGAAGGAAGGCAGCTCGAAATTATCAGAAACCCTGCGTCATCGTCGTAGAGGATCCGGGGAGTTTGATAGGGATCAACAGGAGAGGCCTAGAACACTGCCTTCCATAGCCCGAAGATCGCACAAAGATTCGGGGAAGGTAGCTCAACCGTCACAGGGTTTCAGGAAAATCTCCAGACAGGACATACTTCGGCGACGTGCCAGCGTGGACGCGCCAGTTGTTGTCTCTCGTGGTAGGAGTCACGCGGAGGAGAAGCTAGAAAGTTCAGAGGCGAAAGGTGGCACCGCTTCCAGTTTCCCGAGGAACGTCCCGCGGATCGCTAGGTGGGGCAGAGAGGATGAGAGAGAGTCCAGGTCAGTCTGTGATTTCCTGCCAGTCGGTAACAAGCTGCAGGACACTACCAGCGGCCTTGTGCGCAGACCGTCGACCTTGCCCAAGATAGTCCACGCGTCGAGATCATCGCGATTAACGGGCGATTGGGCCAGCCCGAGGCTGGCCAAGGATGCGGTGAAAAAGGAGCCACCTGTTTACGGAAGGATACGCAGACGGAAGACTTCGTTACCTGCCAACACCGAGACGCATAGAGGCTCCCTGGTGTCCTTGAACACCCTGTCCAGGTACTCCAGATCCGGAAACACGCATTTCAGAGAAAGAGCCGTGGATGTTGAGTTCAGAACGACTACTAGGCACCTCCGAGACCCTGTTCCCGACACACCGTGCCATTCAGCCACGTTGCCTCTTGTTGATATGAAAACAAACCCCCAGCGGAATGCACTTTACGCGAAGGTGTCTCGAAAAACGTCGAAGGGTCTTCAGAGGTATAATCATAAAACTGATTCGAAAGATGGTGCTAACAGTAGGCACGAGGCTAACGTAGGAACCGGTGGCAGGACCATGTCGCGTAAGAGGATCATCGAGAACATGAAGGACGCGAACGTGTACGAGGATCAGAACAGCTCCAGGACCGAGGACTCTGTCGAAGTTCACTCGGAGTTTCCGTCAGAGAGTCAGTCGTACCAGAGCAAGGATTCTGACGTTCAAACGGCCAGAGACCTGTGTGAGATCGAGACCGATCGATCCAAGGAAACAAGCGTGTCCTCTCGCGGCAACGTCTCCGACACAGTAGATTCCCGATCCAATGGCAACTTTGCCAAGTCCAAAGAGGCTATCAGGTACAGATCCAAGTCTCAGGGCAGACTGATCGAAAACTTTCGCTCGAATCATCGAGAGATTGGCGCTGCGACCAGGCTGACGACCACTCTTCCGAGCTATGTGAAAAGTTCGAGAAAGTGTTCGATTGAAAAGCCACAAGGGACCGAGTGTCATAGGAAACTGTCCAAGGAAACTGGAATCTCGTCGAAACAGAGCAAGGAGAGATCGAACTACGTGAAGAAGTCCGCGACCAGTCATGTGAAAGCTTACAACGACGCTAATAGCGGTCGAACGAACTCGCCGGTGACGACATCCTCGATTTTCGGATTCTGCACCGGGAAGAGGAAAGTTCAACCGTCGAATAGTGGTGAGACGAAGGTCGAGAGTCCGCCGTCTTATCCGACATGGAACGTGAAAACGGTTAGTTTGCGGAGAAAAATACGACGGTGTGATTAATCGGTGGTTAACCTTTATTATTTGCTGGTGGATTGTGAGAGTCGTTTCTGTGATCGTTTCTTTATTATTCTGAGAACTCTTGAAATTATTTGTTAGCCAATGCTGCGTCTGATGATGAGTGATGACCGTATATACATCAGTCGGTGTGATATTAATGTTGGGTGACTAACAATAGTTAGAAAATCTCGAAGTATTTAACATGAATTTATTATTATCTATGGATTGATAAAATTATTGGAAAATGATATTTGATTTCCTTTGATCTTCGCTATTCAATCTTTAATGGTGAGAGATTCAGCAAAAATTGATGAATATTCATTTTTCTAAGGGACACTTGCGCATTGACTACAAGCTATACAACATTATATGTATTAATAATTAGAAGCAACTATGTGTAGAATTTTGTTAAACATTTTCAAAATACTCGTTGGAATTAAATAACATAAACGCGATTAGTAGGATCGAGGGGAAATACTAAATTCTTATTTGTGCACAGAAAGAAGTGTAATCGAACGAAAGTTTAAAGGAATTTCAAACGTTTAAATTTTAGAACTTCATGAACTTCAAAGATTGAAAAGAAGATTGCATTGTGCGAGTGTTGGTTTTATGCATTGATACATAAATTATTTCCAGTAAAATATCGAAGGCTAAAGTGCAGCAATTTTTAAATTGTGCTGGTTCTCATACTTGTAGGTCTGATTTCTCTTCAACTACTTAGAATCTCAGAACTACCTCAGAGACAATTGTAATTGACAAACAATCCTCGGAATTTACAAGTGGCACAAGCACAAAGTACACTATTTGATAGAACAACATTTGTCAATTTTTACTTCCGTTGACAGTGTAAGCATATCAAAGTATTCTGATTAAATTTCTTTTTTCGCAAACACATAAAAAAAAAGATTTGCTTCGCTCATCGGCTTAACGATTTATTGCCAATGTTGCCAAATACAAATCAACTTGTGATCAATGAACATTCAATGTACACGCTCAAATAGACTTTCCCACTCATTGTCAGTCATCAATTCTCCAACTATAGACTGGAACGATCTCAAATTTATTCGTCTATCATACCCTAACTATAAACTACAACAACATTTCAAGTCCATATACAATTCTTCGGTTAAGAAATCGAATTTCGAATTTAATCGTTCACATTCGATTCCCCGTAAATTACACCGCAATCGATTTTCTTTTCCAGGGTGAATTGGTGTGGTTCGACCCAGGTGTCGGCCACGTGCTACCAGGCGAGGTTTTGGAATACCACAGAGCCGCCAACGTGCTCTCCGTTCAAGCAGTGATCGCCGGCAAGGTATGAAAATATCAATCTATCCCAGCCCAAGCAATCTCAATGGACATTCTCCGTGCTCGTTGACGAGTGGAAAGGAGACACCCAACTGTATAAATTACATCGAGATTCTGAACGATCGGCTAGATAAGTTGCGCAAGAATCCGTGGAGGTGTCTTTGAGCGGCTGTACGTACGAAACAGAGAACGCGTCTCGTTGCATCGTCCGACGACGAAAACCACTCGTTTCTTTCCAGACTGAATAGGAATCGGATATTTACCGTTCTCCCCATAGACAGGCCAACAATGAAACTACGCTCGTGTGTTATTATCTCGAAGGGATAGAGGAACTGGATAGAAGTATGTTAGGCTACGCGCTAGTCAACAATACGGGTCCACTTCGAGGCCAAGGAACAACCGGTTATTCTGCATTTCCTTTAAGACGACGCTCGCTCCGGGCGGTCGGTCGCCGTTCTAACTATGTTCTATTGACTTTTTGCTGAAACAATTTGGCACGGATACAATGGATAAGAGTGGTTGTTTATTACGTCGATCTGGGTCGTGATATGAATACCTAGAATACGTGATATGAAGTCGCATGACTTCATGCTTACTTATACGCGGGTCGTCGACCTTTTATATGGATTATTCGTTGACTCGGTGACCAATGATCATTGGGAAAGAATATGGAAATTATCGAAATTGATTATCACAGAGATGACATAGATTCTTTGAACATGGAAAAGTGTTTTCTTCCTGCAAAACTAAAGAATTCATTGTTATTCTAGATACAACGGTTTGTTAATAGCTATATTATTCAGGTTCGTTAAATGTTCATCAATGCAATATTATCGTATAGTTCTTATTAGAAATGGAAAACACCTCGTAAGAAATACCATTCATGCTTCATTCTCAATCGATGTCATCATCACTCAAGAAGTGTTGTAATTAATCTTCTTCTGCTCTGGAGTCTAACATCCATTACCATGTAAACAAGAATGTAGCAATTTAGAATACCGATAATAATACCGCAATTATTTCAGTTATCTCAAAACCATGCACATAATTGTTATCATACCAGTTCCCAAGAGATTCTCATTTTTCGCAGTCTTCAACTTTTGCTTCAACATTACTCGAACTCATTGGACCGAGTAAACAATAGATTAATAAATCATCCAATCAGTCTGAAACACTCCGTGCATCGTCTCGATAGAACAGAATTCTCGCATTTAATCCAGATCGTAAGTTCATGCAACCTTGAAGCCCGTTTGCGAAACCCGTTACGAAAAAGAGGAACGAAAAAGAACGAGTACAAGTTCAGGGAATCCTGAACGTTCATACGTATGTACATACATAGATTAATGTGTTAGAATAGGTGGGACGAAAAACAAGGTTTCCATTGGTGTGGCCAACCTAACGGGGCAGTCGAATGCGTTCGGTCCCGGATAGAAAGTCGAATACCGCGCATACTTAGCGGAATACCGCGAAATACTTCCGCAACGGTGGGCCGCCGCGGCATCACGCAAAATTGCTCCAGCTAGAGCAATGTGTTGATCCCCGACGTGAAAGTGCATATCGAAAAGGGGCAGCGTGCCGGCTATTTGCAACACCTTCCTGCACTTTCAAGCTCCAAGGACACCGTATTGGCAACAACATCGTGTCCCCGAGTTTTTCGCGTTCACGTCTCTTTCACTTTCGTCAATTCCGCTGCTCCTCTTCCCCAGATCAATTTTTTTTTTTTCGAAACCATTCATCAATTCTGATTATGAAAGTGATGTGATTTAATTGGTGAAACGGAAATCTTAATATTTATTACTGTACGTCGGGGTAACTTTGACTCACAAGGAAACTTTGCATAAATAATTATTAGACCTATCTAAGAAGATAGCTGTATTAATTCGATCTCAAAAAACGGTATAACTTTTATTTCAACCAATTTTTTATATCTTTTGTTGTTTACGACTTATAAGCACGTAAATAGCGGTTCGGATAAAAGGGTTGATGCCTCCCTCAAAGTGAAAAACGGGCACGAACGAATTACAGCTATTTTCTTAGATAGGTCTAATAAATATTTATGCAAAGTTTCATAAAAACGGAGTGTATCAGTCCCCGATGTTCCGTTGTCAGTCAGGCTAACATTGTTCCAATTCAGAAAATTATCATTTTCGATTTTGCAGCTCTGAAAGTTGATACATTAAGTTCATTTTTGCGTGAAAAGGTATTTTACGTAAAAAATACCTGGCAAACAGCTGCAATATTGAAAATAATCATTTCCTGACTTTGAGACAATGTTACCCCTAATTGAGTCAAAGTTATCCTAACTTGTGGTGCGTATTACACAAATCTTATTATTTATTACACATGTGTCTCTTTTAGTAAACAGCTATTGAATAAGAATAAAATATTCGAAGAATATTCGTGAAGTTCCCCAGACCCCACTTCACCAGTTTTGCGACAAACACCTTCTATTCTAATATTTAAATTAGGAATACCATCGATGTTGCATTAACTAATTAACGCCTGCCTTGCCTAATCTTTGTTTTCTTAGCGTTGAATTAATGGTAAATACTCTGCAGAATAAAACTTGTGCAACATCACCGTAACAATAAACACAAAGAAAAACATCTCTGTCTGAATTTGTTTGACTGGTACTGTAATTGTTGCTACTTATAGAAGGCATAATCGATATTAGGTATCTATCAAACCATAGGAGCTTCTTTCGTATTCGCTGTTACAGTTCTGCATCCTCTACATCCATAAAAAATTATGGAATCGAATCCGTAACAGTAAAAGTCAGTGGTAATGAATGTAGTATAATAAAATCGAATTCCTAATTAGTTCGAGACAACCAGAACGTACCGACAAAACAATTTTAAATAGAATCTCGTGTGTTATGCAGGTTTTAATATAACTAAGGATATGTACATACTAGCCACGAGACGTAAATATAGCTGATGGTTTTGTGGTTAGCAGAATTATCTCGAGCCTAATATTTTCTAGTGAATTACGTTAATGGTAACTCCGGGATGGACATTAAACGCAGGTAATTATTATTAACGACGCGTTACAAGCTCCTAGCATAAAAAACGTTTTATTAAACAATAACCATCTAATGACTCACTTGAGCAATCGTGTTAATGAGAAATTTGAGATCCATAAAAATTACTTCTTTTAGGTATTAAAACTTTTATAAATATTTATGGTAATAATTATGACTATTTTATAAGAAGCCCCTTTAATTACAGTCTCAGGCAATTTACGAAAGACAACTGTTGTTATCTTCATTGCTTGTAATTTTTACTTTTCATCGGAATAAATGATCATAATAGGTCTGGGGAGCTTAGTGCGCGTATTTATTGTTTAACGTTATTCTAGAACTGCGTACACAGCGTAACGTTAACGCAATTTTCGTAGATGCGCTAAACAAGAATCGGACGTGTTCGAGGTTTTATTTGCACGGTAATCATGTATCGTCGGACAGTTCACCTTCAACATTGATTATTCGTCGCTGTAGTGGTGCGTTATGTTCGATTTCTCGATGCATTGTCGTGCATTGGTAGGGGAGTCTAGTTCAACGGTGTCCCATTATAGATGACGGTGCACACAGGCGTCGAAATGAGAAATTCACCTCACAAATTGCGTAACATTACGTTTTATCCACTTTCATATGCTTAACTCGATACAAAATTCGTACAGTGACTGTTCAACTACGAAAAAAATATTCTTATATAACTGTTACATCATAACTTTTTTTATATAAATACGCCTGTAGTTATTTTAAGAAATCGTAGCTACTTTCTGTCAGTAGACAGGTAGCGAATTAGCTTATGGTCAATCTAAAAATTCAGTCCGTTACAATAAATGTCAAACAAACGCAAATTTAAACCAGTGTCTTATGTATTATTAAGACTACAAAATAATAACAAATATTTAAGAATAATGTCCATGAACAGACTCATTCATTGTTAACCTGTAGAGGATGAGAAGACTATTTTTAGATTTGAGGTGGATCGCTTATTTTTCGTAATATAACACTATAACAAATAACAACAGCAACAACTTTTATAACAAATATATAAAAGTTCTGACTCGAAAATACAAAAAGTATGAAAAAACCTGCCCGTCCTTTAAATGTTAACTTATAATACAACAATATCTTCAGAACATTCCGCTTTCACAGTAACCATGTCAGTACCATAGTGGGCATAATTTCCGAACAGTTTAGCTCGATTCAGATCTCCATTTATTACCACAAAAACACGTTAAATTAAAGCCTGCACCGTAATTACAAGACACCGCAGAAACCAAAGCGAGAAAGAGAAGGGATTTCGTATCAGTGAACAAAAATTCGTAAGATATCTGAAATAGCCTCACGCGTCGTTTAGTTAGCGTATCAGTGAAAGGAAGCTCTTAATTAATTTCTTTCGTCCACGAACGTCCATATAAAATCGCCTAACGGAATCGATTTCTGTTTACCACGCACGACCTAAGTCGCCGGCGAGGTTGATATCCCTTCGCGGATCGCATTCCCCCGCGATCGCAACGTAGCGACGCCATTGGAACTGCGAACTCAGGCGGTCTCGGTATCCGGTTGAGTCTCGCCGTGAGTGGCTTTCGCGTCTTATGTGAATTTGCGGGGATCTTCCTTTTTTTAACGCGCATTCTCCTGTCGGAGATCGGGTTGCGACCGTCGAGGAAATCGTGCAAGAACCGGCTGGAAAAAAGACACTGTTAGGAGAGTTCCGGTAGGCTGCACGATCCATGGACGCTAATTTTGAGAAAGTTTGAGTTTTATGGCCTGGGGAACATGATCTTTCACAAATTACTATGAAAAAAGGAGACAATCATCGGTGCGATGAGTCGTAGACGTTGAATAGTGATGCGGCTTTGGTAATTATTGTAATGATCTTCAGGTGCCGAGGAACGGTTTAAGAACTGATGGTGATTGTGGATGGTTGAAGATTGGAGTAAAATTTGTGAAAAATAGATCTTCGGGTGATGGGAATCTTCGATATGGTTCATGTCCATTAAATTCTAATTTAGAAGAGCTTCAAGAAGATTAATTAATTAGCAGTAATCTTTAAACAGTGAAGTCTAAAAAATAAGCAATTGGAGAAGAAAGAACATTTGGTGGTGAAATAAGTGTATATATTGATTGTACAAAAAGTGTAGAACCTTAATAGTATTTACTGTTTTTTAATCAAATATCACGAGACATATAGAATAATTGAACCAATAATAGCTAAAATGTGGTCTTTGGAAACTGGATGTGTATACCATCTGGTGTAACCAGAGAATCAAAGTGCTTAAACCCAAATTATGAATGAACATCACTCCTACTAATTTACCAATGGAGAACCCAGAAGATCGACACTACACAGAGCCAACAGTTAGCTTGGGATCCTCATCAGTCCATTCATCAGTACCTTCTAGCCCAACCGGTAGTAGTGACCATTCAGACACGATTCATCACATCAGAGAACACGAGTCTAACTTACAATTAGACAGCTGTTCGAAGTCAAACCCAGTTCAGGAAAGTCCGTCGCAACCGTGTTACGATGTTCCTGTTCGGAAGTCAAGGTTACGCTCGGAGGAAAGTGTCTTCGTCAAGGACGAGGAGGTGTGCTTGTGCGCGCCGCAGCAAGACTTCGTCGAGTGGCATTACAAAACGACGATGTCGGTGCTGAAGAATTTAAAGGGGGTCTTAGCCGGCTTGAACTCCGTCGACGATGACTTTCCCAAGGAATTTCGTGGTGGCTCGTTACGCTCTTCGACGACCTCTTCGGCGTCATCCCGCGAGTTCTTTCGCGTGTACCCGATGGACAATGACGAAAGCGACTCTAGCGGGTACTCGAGGAGGCAGGGCACAGTCAGACGAACGGTGTCCAGAGACGCTACCCTGAGGCCGAAGTTGAAGAGGTCACCGGAACCATTGACGTACCTCTGCGTACGCGTGATCGACGAAAATGTAATGCGGTGCGACACGACGTTTTCAAATTCTTCTTTCGTATCTGAATCGAATCTTTGGGAGTTCTTCGATTTGCAAATTTTTTGTGTAGATTCTAGATTTAGGAAACAGATTTGTGTTATATAGAACAGTATGGAGAAGTGGAACTTAAGCTTAGGGTTATGAAGACTAGGCTTAGGACTATGTACAGTTGAGTCGTAAATAAAAATTGCTGTAGAACATTTTTATTCGCAAAAATAAAGATCTATTGATTTGTGTAAACCTACATAGGAAGTAATATCAGAATTTTAATATGTGAATATTATAATTAGTTTTTAATACTGGTTAGATAATTGTATACTTGTAATTTCACATTTCAGCCCCAAATTTTCACCCTGACCAATTTGAGTGGAGTGAAGCCAAGACAGGATCTTGGGCAAAATGGTGTCGAAGACATGATTCAGTTAAGGTGGGTCCGGTTTCATTCTTTTTCTGTTATTTATAGAATAGAATTCATTCTGTAATTTGGAAATACTGTTGAAATTGCAGCGACCTCAATGAGGCCTCTTTATTATGGAACCTGAAAATTCGATACGACAAGGAATTAATATATGTATGTTCGTTTACTGGATCTTTTATTTGCACAGATATAAGCCATTTTATTGTAATTTAATAAGAGTATATTTTTTTAAATGACAGACGTACACGGGAAGTATTTTAGTGGCGGTAAATCCTTATAAAATGTTTGACATTTATGGCCTGGACCAAGTGAAACTCTATGAAGGACGAATACTCGGGACCCTGCCGCCGTGAGTTTCTTTTTACTTCAATTTAAAAAACACATATAGACACTGAAGAAAAAACGATTTATGTAATACCTCCGGTAAAAGTAAAATAACATTTCATGTCTACATATAAAACTTTACTCTATTCTAATTTCATGTAACAAAAAAAGTGTGTCTCAGTTTTCACTTTAATTTGTAGAGTAATTGAAGAATCTTCCAAGAAATTTAAGTCTAGTTAAACATAATTAGGTAACACAGAGCTCTTGGACTTTGTTACGAATTTGTGAAAGTATCATATTTCTGTAAATTACCTTATGTTACAACAAACTTGAAATAATAGGCTAGATAGAAGAAACAGATGATTCTTTACCAAATTATAATAAAATTTATAGTATAATAATATTACAGAAACAGTGTTACTCAATATTTATCCATCTTGACGAAACAAGAGTCGATCTCCTATCTCAAATATTTACAACTGTAATAATATCTCATTGAAATAATAATACAAAAAAACTACAGAATGTAATATTATTGGTAATTACTCTTGACTATTGTCAAACAGGATACAATAATTTACATTCGATATCGATTGCTCATTCTAAAGTGATTATTATTTTCCCGTATATCGACACGTTTGTTCCTTTTTGTTCTTTCTTTTAACTAATAATAATATTACGGTGCATTATAGTCACCTGTTCGCCGTGGGCTCATCAGCATATAGTCAAGTAACCGCTGCAAATAATGCCAGCGCAAATCAGGTGGTCGTTATTTCCGGCGAATCCGGTTCAGGAAAAACAGAATCCACGAAACTCGTAATGCAGTACCTAGCCGCCGTTAATCGAGCGCCGAACAATCTGGTCACTGAGCAGATCCTCGAGGCGACGCCATTACTGGAAAGCTTCGGCAACGCAAAGACGCCGAGAAACGATAATAGCAGCCGATTCGGCAAATATCTGGAGGTTTACTTTAGAGAGTGAGTGTTCATCATCTCCACAAGACACCATACATTTATTTTAATTAATGATTATTTCTTAATATTGATTTAAAGCCTCCGCAATTTTTGCAAAAGCAGAATTCGAGGAAAAATTAAATATATGAGATCTCTTTGACATTAAAAAGATTAAAGACAAAAATGATATACAACGCGTTTTATATGAAAGCATATCAAGACGAAACTTGTAATTCGAAATACATTACTTAAAAAATGTTGATAATTCAAATTAGAGAAGGTAGTACATAATTTCTTAGACATTTCAAGCCGTTAGTTACTTTGCTAGCAATAAATCATACATATTTTCAAAAGTGTACATTATACAAGTGATACCTCACGTTTATCTGATTGATCTAACCACTGACACCACAGTCGCCACCCATATCAATCACTCTAATGCTTTCAGTGGAGTCATCGTAGGGGGAAGAATAACCCAGTATCTCCTAGAAAAAAGTAGAATAGTCACTCAAGCTTCTGAAGAAAGGAACTACCACGTCTTCTACGAGCTTCTAGCTGGCCTGGACCAGCAACTCAGGGACAAATACGGTTTACTAACCCCAGACAAATACTTCTACCTGAACCAGGTTGCTAAAACTTCTAATCTCCACCCATAACAGAATCTCCAATACCCGAACAAGTTTAAAACATCAACTTTCAGGGTGGAAATTGCGAGATCGATGGGAAGAGTGACGTCCAAGACTTCAAAGCTCTTCTGTCCGCCATGCAAGTGTTGGGGTTCACGTCCGAGGAACAGGACACGATCTTCAAGATTCTCGCGAGTGTGTTGCACCTGGGCAACGTGTACTTCCACCGGAAGCAGATGAGACACGGCCAGGAGGGTGTGGAAGTCGGGTCGGACGCCGAAATCCGATGGGCAGCTCATCTTCTTCAAGTGAATTCGGACGGGATCATCAGAGCGCTGACGACCAAAACGACGGTGCGTGTGTCGGTGAAAGCGACGCAAGAACGCTTCGCTGCTCCTGATCTTCGTGGATCGATCTGATTAATCGGTTTCGTTTCGCAGGAGGCAAGAAACGAGAGAGTCTTCACCGCGTTGAATATCGATCAGGCCCTGGATGCCAGGGATGCCTTCGCAAAGGCTCTCTACAGTTCGTTGTTCTCCTGGCTGGTAGCACGTGTCAATCACATCGTCTACAAAGGGACCAAACAGACCGCCGCCATCTCGATCCTTGATATATTCGGGTTCGAGAACTTCACTGAGAACAGCCTCGAGCAGCTGTGCATCAACTACGCGAACGAGAACCTGCAGTTTTATTTCAACAAGCACATATTCAAGCTCGAGCAGCAGGAGTACGTGAAAGAGAAAATTGACTGGACTACTATAAATTACACTGTGAGTGAAAAGTTATACTATTGGTAGTGAAAGGTATCGAAAGCATTGCGTGTGGTCGAAAGTAGTGTGCTGGAAAATTTTTAGAAGTTTCAACCAACTGGAACAGTGGAAATAGAGGAATTTCATTAAAAATTACTTTGTATTTAATGATAGTTTGTTAATTAACTTTATTACATTATTGGACTTAGTTTTTGCGTGGATTTAGTATTAGATGAAAGTTGTTTTTACTTCGTTATTCTTCTGAAAAGTCTCATCGTATTTTCTATTTTCTATTATTACCTTTTGACAGGAATTGCTGATATTCTTATTTTTTAAATGATTGTGAAGAGGGTTGTATCGTTTCTTTAATTAGAGTTGAATTATTCTCCTTTGAAACAGGACAATTTGCCAGTTATTCACCTAATCGCAAAGAAACCAGTCGGTATTCTGCATCTGTTGGACGACGAGAGTAATTTTCCCAAAGCGACGGATCTCTCGTTTCTTGAAAAGTGTCATTACAATCACGCTCTGAGCGAATTGTACTCGAGGCCACGAATGAATTCAGCTGAATTCGCCATTAAACATTACGCCGGCCAAGTTTGGTATAACGTTGAAGGCTTCTTGGATAAGAACAGAGACACTTTGCGACCAGATGTGGTGGAATTATTAATAAGCAGTAAAATATCCGTAAGCGTTGTTCCATTCGAAGGAAATTTTTTATGAAGTCTTTTACTCAGTTGGTTTGATCGTTGATTCCTTTCCAGATGGTCAGTAAAATGTTCCAGCATGTAAGGACAACCCACGAGGCTAATAAGACCATGAATAAACCAAACGGTAGATTCGTCACTATGAAACCAAGAACGCCGACCGTGTCTGCACGGTTTCACGACAGTCTGCAGCAACTTCTAGATTCGATGTCACAGTAAGTGTTTGTCAAACCTTTTTTTTAACTACAATTTTCGAATTCTTACGTGACGCAGTAGTGAAAAATTATGACAGTTTAGTGTAAACATTAAGAATGCCAGGAAGAAGTTTCAAGCACTAACTTTCTAACATCTAGTATTCAAATTTAAGCAAACAGGAATATTAACGTAGTCTTCTTGTCTCGTAGATAAAATCTCTGTGCACTTGCTGTGAAATATAATCAAATGTATCTTGATACATATTTGTACGACTTTCACGGCTTCAGTTCTTGCAGTTCGAACTGGCGAGAAATTTGACGATTTCTCTGTATGATTGCTGATTCGATCCGGAAATGAATGGCAGATTGTAAAATAACAAGCATAAAGTATATTTTATAGTTGGATAATTAAAAGTACTATTTACCTTGTTAACAGGATAAATCCTGTTAGTTCGTCAATTTTACCGTACTATTTTAATTCCTTATACTTATCGTAATTTCTTTTTAATTCAAATGTATTTATTAGTTTAGTCAGAAATAAAAGTAAATTCCAAATAGTTTGCACAGATTGATCGAAATGCTAAAATGATTCATTTTAAGTCTACAATTTCTAATCTTCCTCAGCCCATAAAAAGAATGGAATAAATTCTATGCATTCTATATATTTAATTCCCATGAACCTAGACCTTAACAATTTTTTAATGAGATGCACACTAAAGTTTTTCTGTAATGGAATTGTAATTCGATTAAACTTGTACTATTGGGTCTCAGGGAAAATTCTATGATCTTTGCCAGAATAATTTAATAAATAAATGACAAACTTTTATCCAAAGAACTACTATCTTGCGAGACTACTGAAAAGATGTAACACGATCCTACAGAAAATTAATGTTAAACGCATTACATCACTAATTAGATCAGAAAAATGCAATCCATAAAATTATCCATCAGGTCTAACATCCAATGTCAACAATCATTTTCCTATAACATTAACATTCTTTTATTAGCTCAGCACGTATTACGATATTTATTAATCATTTCAGATGCAATCCATGGTTCGTGCGATGCATCAAACCGAACACAGAGAAGGCGCCAATGAAGTTTGACATGCCCTGCGTGCTCGAACAATTACGTTACACTGGGATGCTCGAGACTATCCGTATCAGGAAGACGGGTTACCCAGTTCGACTTGTTTTCGGACACTTTGTTGATCGATATAGATACCTGGTGTCAACGCATCTACCTAGAGGAGCTCCGAATAAGGAGCTCTGCCGTATAATTCTGGATAAAGCCGCGCCAAAAGAGGCACAGTCGCAATATCAGTTGGGTTTGACGAGAGTATTCTTGAGGGAATCCTTGGAAAGGACTCTGGAGTACAATAGAGCGCTCATCTTGGAAAGGGCGGCCATTACTGTTCAAAGGTAGAAACTTATATTTCCGGACATAAGTATTAGGAGACTCAAAGAATGTGCAGTAAATGTAATAAATTATTTAGGGGATATTAAATCTCGACAGACAACGCGTATGCTACTATAAAGTAATACTAGGGCCTAAAATATGTAATTTTTATAAAATATCACATTCTTTTCATATAAACATGGTGTCCTGATATTTATGAGCGGTAGAATACCTAACAAACATAAAGTCTGTAGGCGGAGCTAACAGGAATTACCACTGAACGAAGGCGTTTCTGGTAATTAAACTAACAGTAGGTGTTTTTAACTGGACAATTACAGATATACCAGAGGATTTCTAGCGAGAAGAAGGTTCCTCAATATTTCACGAAGCACCGTGCTGATACAGGCGGTCTATCGTGGTTATCGTGAAAAAAAGAAGTTCAAAGCACTCAAGAAAGGGGCGCTTATGGCACAAAAGATATATAGAGGAAGGAAGCAGCGTGAAAAATTCCATGTTCTAAAAGAGGAAATGGCGAAGAGAGCGGAAATCGAGAGGGCTAGCAAGGAATACTTGATGGTGACTTATTAGAATTCTTTACCGATCTTTTATTAAAATTGTAATGATATTTTGATTTTACCCTCGGAGTATTCGGTCACCGAAAACTAGGCAGTTCGAGAATAGAACTATCTATTGCATAAATTTGTTTACAGCGTTCTAGGGACCTATTCTTTGTTGACAGGAAATCATTAAATCAATATTAGTTTTGCAAAATTTTTATTTCTACGGAATTCAACACGTCCATCAATTTGATAGTAATAACTGTTAATGTTCTTTGCGATGGTCCCTTTTAGGATCCAGTCCCAGAAAGAATAGAACCCATTGAAGTATTATGAATCGTTAATGTCTGAAAAGTGATACTTTTGTTCTTCAGATTGGCAACCAACCCACACAGAGCGAAACCTCCTGAAAGTTGTCGGCCAAGTGATCCCAATGCACCAAACTTACAGTCTCCCGCCAGACATAGACCAGCACCAATTCTCAAAATTCACTAACATCTACTTCAAGAGCCATATCTTCGGCATGAAACGAGAACCAATAAAGACACCGTTCCTGGCAAAAGCTCGGGACCAAGATTACACAGACTCATTGATGATCTTCAAAATGATCCTCCGTTTCATGAACGAGAACAACTTGAGTGGCAAAAGGGAACAAGCATTGGGCGACTATATCGTGAACAAAGGAATCGTCAATGAAAAATTAAGAGACGAAATTCTGTGCCAGCTGGCGAATCAAACGTGGAAAAACGAGAACGATGCTAACAAAGAGAGAGGCTGGTTGCTATTGTCCAACTGTCTATCAGCCTTCCAACCCAGTTCAACACTGTTTAAGTATTTTCTCAAGTATGTGTCCGATCACGCCTACGACGGATACAAAGCTTACTGCCAGAGGAAGCTTTTGCAAGGTGAAAGGACTATATTCAGGATAATGAGCACTAATCAACAAATTGTGCACCACGTACCGAGGAATTATCCGCCCTGCGTATTGGAGTGGAGGGCGAACAGGAATCGCGTTAACATGGCGCTCAGCGTGGGATTCTATGACGGTGGGTGTCATACGAATTGAATTTTTAATGAAATTTCTTTTAGCACACGAAATATCATGATAGTATACGAAATATCAAATAGTATCTTTTACAAATTTGTTATTTATAGTGATGGGATAGAGCACTTATCAAAAGTAAAATTAGTGAAATCGACATATGAATTATTACGTTTGCTATATTACGATAATAAAATTTACTGTTACTTTCAGGTGAGACGGTCACCTGTGCCGTGGATTCGTGGACAACCTGCGAGGAACTGGCTAATCTCGCTGTCCATAATCACGGCGTGGACAATTCCGGCTGGACCATCACTCTATGGAACCAGTTAGACGGTCCGGACGCCATTGTTACAGAAACCAATGGTTTCGATTACGTTCTCGATCTGATCTCTGAGATGGAGCTTGCGCCAGCTTTCCCTGCCGCCAAACACATGTTCCTCGAACAGCGGAAGAACAGTTTCCCACCCATTAAGAAGAGAGAGGTAAGTTCGTTTAATTAGTCGTAAATCAGGTCGTCGTATTTACTGGAATATAAATGTTTACGATTTCGTTTTAGCATACGCAGATCATTCGAGAATTAGAACAGGAAATAGAACCGCCGGTTCTGAAGACTTTCCAGCCTCTCGAGCGGAAACCAGTGCCAAAGGTTGTGGACAAACCCGTCGAACCGGAGATTCAATCTCCTAGGCGACCCGCTGTTCCGCCCCCTCAACCACCTGTAACGAAGCCATCGGTAAATTCAAATTTTCACTGTTAATTTAATTAGAATTATTTTATCATGAAAATTATTTTTCGCAAGCCCAAAAATTTGATTTCGTTGAAAATAAGCAGGTTTTGAATTTGACAAAATACAGTAGATTACTTATTAGTACACCTAATATAATGTAATTTTGAATGCAAATTTCTGTGTATTATAGTTTGTAAAAATACGTAATATATTCTTAGGATGAGTCACAACTGTCTGATTGCGTTTATTCCAGATGAGAAAACAGTCTCACGAGGCTATATTAGAAACTACAACGGAGACAGGTTTATCGCGAAAATCGGCTCTTAACGACAGATACTTCGAAAAAGAGAAGCAACGAAGTCGTAGTCTGGATAACCTGCTCCAACCAGAAGTGGTGTCGCCTCCAGTTAAGCTGGCGAACCTCGGATTATCGTCGTCGAAACTGAACGAACGGTACCATAGCCTCGAAAGGATTGGAGAAACGCCTGCAGTCAGTAACGTCGAGTACATGACGAGAACGGAAATTACACAGGAAAGGAAGTATAGTAGGATAACGAGGACAACGGAGCCGAATATTGAGGAAGAGGATCTAACGATCGATTTCGAGTATCCGGATATTCAATCGGTCAGCCAGACTGGAAGATCGGAGGACGATAAGAATAGTTACATTAGATCGCAAACTAGGTTCATCAAATCTCAATATCCTGGTGAGTGTTACTATTATGATTCAATAAATAATAATCACATTCTGTTCATGTCCTTTTTAATTTGTTTAATTAAGAGTAATATCATAAGAAGGTACCCTTCCGAGTAAAAACTATGACACCTTTTAATTTGTCTAATTACTGGTACAATGAGTGAATAATTAATACATAAAAAGCGTGAAGGTAGAAACATTCCCAGTATATTTAAAATAAGAATTTTGTTCCAAGTAATACTATCACATACTAACGACCATTCTCACTCTGTAGTAAATACAACGTTCTACAAAGAAATATACCATTTCCTAAGAAATCATACTAATTTCCAATGCAATTCATGTACAATAAACCAGAGAAAACCCAGCACCTGCTAGAGGTTTTCCCATTCATTAGGAGCAGGTCAACCAGTGCATACATAAATGATACAGCTATACCCAATACATTATTCAGATTGATGATATCACTCCTTACGTTTTCTTTTCCACTTACCATTTGTTCATTATACCGCATTACCGTGTCGCTTTACCTTACTATAATAATACTCTATTAAACAGTAATGTGTTATAAAAACGAATCTGTAAGAACTCAATTATTCCATAAGAACATTTCTCTAAATCTGAAGGTAAACGTGCACTACCAGGCAGCCAATCGAGCCGAGCGTACATCGAGAAGAGCGAGTACGGTGTGAAATCGTCCGCCATGTCAGACACGAGCGAAGCTCCTTCCCTGGCGTCGCACGTGAGACGCGTCAGGGTGCCTAGTCAAGCCTCGGATGTGGATCAGTTCTTGGACGAGCTGTTCATGCCGGTTCTGGACGGGAATCTCGACGAATTATCCGACGCGAGGAGTCTAGCTGCTAGCATCAAAGGTACAAGCGACGATAGGTCTCAGGGTGATGCCATAATTCTCGATACCCTGAAGAGGAAGACCAATGAAGAAGACCAGAATGACGAAAGGAGACTCGAAACTGTGGATGATTTTGTTAAAATGATGCTAAGAAGCCCCGAGGATGAAACTATCACGGCTAAAGTGTTGTTAGAGAAGATCAAAGGGGGAGGCAACATGGACATACCGAATCAGAACGCGACGTTCAATTTTGGCGCAATCACACCAGGGATGATGTCTCCGCCTATGATGATGCCGATGTTCAGTTCACCCCAGCAAGTGCCTCCCACGCAAAGTACCAACATGAACATGGGCCCAGGCTTCATGCCGATACCCATTTACAGTATGCAAGGTCTCAGCCTCCCTCAGTATGCCAGTTCACCGCCGAGTCAGAACAACGAGATGATGGCCTATCAGCAGAACCTGCAAAGGGCGTTCCTGCAGAGTGCCATGGCGCAGAATATACAGATCCAACAGCAATTACTGGCGCAGAACCAGGCTCTTCAGCAACTGCTTGTGCAGAGTCCTCAGAACTCTAACCAACAACCGGTGAGAAACCACTTGTAATTTTGTAACTGTGAATAATTACACCGAAGTGTTGGGATATGACAGGTATCCTCGGTTATTTTCTGGGACAATGAAATATCGAAAGTTTATAGACAGCATTCCAGCTCAATTTTGATTGTTCTGACATTTATCCACTTCCTTCGTTGCTTAATCATGTTTTATAAAGTGATCTAACTTTTGCCGATTTCATAAGTAGATTAAGAAGTTAACCTTTAAATTGATTGCACGTCGAAGAAGATTAATCACTGGCCAAACGTATAGGAAACCTATGAATCTTCATTTCATCCGTTAACTTCCTATTCAATTTGACGAACGAAAAATATCTGCGATTCGGAATTCTAAACAGTCTTCATCCTGAATTATCTTCTCAATCGTGTACTTTAAGATTTCTAATATCCTTCGGTTCATCCACGGAAAGAATCGTGGAATGAACCATCACGCGAAGAATTTTCTCATCGAAGCTAACTATCCCATTCCATCGTCCCAGAAAATAATGACAGTACACAAACACATCGAGCCTACGACGAACCATTATACATACATTGTAAAAATACCGACACACTTTGACTCTCGATTCAATTCTTTTTCCCGTCACCGCGTCACCTCGCAAGCACGGCAACACTTACGATGTGTCGTAACGACACATAAAACAGAGAAAATTGCATGTTAAATGTCATCACAGTGAACGGATAGCCGGGAGATTCGGCGTGTCACTTTCACGATCACATGTAACTAGTACTAACACGATATCGCTCTTGCACAACGACACTGCACGGGAGCCAGCTTCGCCGATCGCGATCGCACTTGAACAGGTACGATGATATCTGGTCCTTCGCGGACGATCCTGGTTGGCTTTTGAGCCGCATCGCGGCATGGGTGTGTGTTTCCAGGGCACGGTGTTGTCCACAGGCCCCTCCAGTATGAATCTTGTCCCCCCAGCCCCCCAAAACGGTGCCCAAATGGGGCCCAATGATTCTATCGGACGCTACTCGAAGGTATCTACTGATTATCATCTAACAAAAATAGAACCGTCGGTGAATTAGTACGGCGTACTTGAACCGTGACGATAAATATAATCGGTGTTAGATAATCATGTACAGAATATTGTATCATAGTTTTGAGGACATTAACCGGTTATGGGACCGATTTCCGTGAAACGAGTTTGAAAGTTGACTAGTACAGTGGTGTGAGGAAATGTGGGTTCAGGGAAACTTTGGTATACGTTGTAACGACAGATACCGACGGCGAAGGACTTTAATTATGTTCTACGATTCTTCGAGTGGTGATTGACACAGTTCTTCGGAATTAGTCTGTAATTATTCATTATCCACGGCGTGGAATTGTGTCGCGTCTATCTGAAGGAGGATGTAGAGTCTAGCAGCAAGATGAGGTTTGTCATTATCTTTTACTATTGATATTAAATCTCAGGTGGTTTTTAAATCTTGAGCAGAAATTGCAACAGCAATTCTTTATAATTCTAAATAGTATAAAATTGCTAATGTACATATACATAAAAATGGAGTATTCTGCAGAACTTGACCAATATGTTAACCACTTCAACCATATTGCACCCAGATCTACTCACCTGCAGTTCTTTACAACACTGTACATAGCAGCACGAATCGACCAACTCGAAGCATGTACAAATTTGCAATTCACTCCGTTGTAAAATACTTTGTAACTCGCTGTGAACTTAACCTTTAGGTGATATCATCGGGGTATTATAACATTATTTCATTTAATGTATCAACGAAGATGCAATTTCTAAATGAATCTTCGCCGCTACCAGGTGTCGTTCAGGGAGCCAGAAGATGGGGAACTTTGGTCAACGGAGAAGCAAGGAACTCCAGTTCAAACGCCGACAAACAGCCAACGTCAGGAAGTGACGGTCAAGGCTCAGATACATCGATCGCAGAGTCCACCGAGGAAGAATTCTGAAACGGCCAGAAAGACGAGTGTCGAATACGCTGTCAGAAAAATTAGCGTCGACAGGAAAGTTGGCGACAAGAAGTCCTCCGGCCCGATAGACGCGAAAAGGCCGAGCTCGAATAAGAGCAACGTGCAAAGTAATTTCACGAACGTGTTGAGTGAATTGAAAAATCGAAAGAGTAGCGTGGACAGCAATTTGTCGAATTCGAGCAATAATAAAGGCGTGCCACCCCCGCCGCCTATGCCTCCGCCTTTAGAATCTCATGATCCATCGGAGTCCAGACCCTTCCTCGATCCTTACGGAAGAGCCAAAACAGTTCGAATTGGTAAATGGAGGTGAGTAATTCAATTTATCGTTATATAATAGATCAGAAAGATATCGTTTCAACTAAATGACCCCTTTCATTATTTATACTATTAATAATTACAAAACTGTTTCATGAAAAGTCATTCTATAACAAAATTGGTAATGATTTGGTAGGCTCTGAATAATTTCTGTACGAACGTTGACTTCAGATGGCCTCCACCGAGCGACTCGAACGAGAATCAAAGTCAAGATAGCTTCATAGAGTTCAAAATGCGACAGCAGCAACAACAGCGCAAGATCACGCCGCAGTTCGGAGAGTACAATCAAGGAGACGGAGAACCAAGCACAGAAGGTGCAGTGGAGTGGGAAGAATTTGAAATTGAAAATATTGTTGGAAGTGAAGAAAGAGCAGTAGTATCTCATACGTCTACCCCCGCGACGAAGCACGAAAACGGGTACAAAGAGGAGGGAGAGAAAAAAAAGAAGAAATCCAAGTACGATATATCATACAGTTGCATTTCAGTTGCTTAATCTTTTAATTTATATTTCAACGAATTGTTTAGGTCCGCGTTAGAAGTCGGCGCTCAAAGGCCATCCCCAGGTAGCATTGGTAAATTGAAGCTGAGTTCAGAAATGAGACAAAGATTGGAGAAGGTGACAGCTAATCACAGTGTGAGATCGACGAAAACGACAGAGAAGCCCGCTCTCCCGCGAGAAGACGGCAAAGTGAAGCGTTTAGAGGATAATAGGAAACTTCTTCTTGAACAGCAATTAGGTAACGTTATTAAGAAAGTTTGACGTCGTCGTGTATTACAATGAGTTTATAACTGACATGTGACGCTACACTAATGCGAGTCACAGTATGAAGTTTGCATCGTCCAGACATCGTAGTAGGTAAAAGAATAGTTGTGAAGATGATTCGACGTTTTAAAGGAGGTCGATGGGACGATTATGCATCCACGGCCGATGACACGCAAAGCGTCACTTCAAAAGGCACGACAGACATGATGACTCAAGCTCAAGTAGTTAGAACCCAGATTGAGAGGATGGAGAGGCCTGTGCCACCTCCGCTTCCGGTGACACCTCCGCAACCCCCTAGTCCCAGAGGTGGAAGCATTTATAGTAATAGGTACCTTCAGCTATTTCTTACTACTACTTTTTTCCATTTCCTTTTGTATTCATGACATAACTCATCTCGTTGAAAATACAATGTGATTATTTAAATCAGGCATAGAAACGCCTCCTATTGAATCATCCGAACCGTGTATAGTAGTGCTAAGACCGTTGCTTTCTAATAATTTTTAATGCACTAGAGTTGACTTGATTGAAAATACATCAGAACCTCTATATTGATAGTTGTCGCTGATCACATTAGAAATAGAAGCTTACAGCTATTATTAAACTTAACTTTAAACGTTACGACAAATTACAGTCAATCTGGTGTACCACAACCAAGGTCACCCCCAGCACCAATCGAGCCAAAATCCCGAGACACCTTCAGGGCATCACCAGATTCAGAATCGTTCGATCACTTTTCGAAGGCCCAGCGCGACATGTTCAGCCACAGTCGGGACATATTCGCGTCCCAGCAGCACTTAAGGGAGAGCCACGAGTACAGAAACGACTTCGATAAGTCTCGATCACAGGACCAGAAGTCCAAAGACTTCTACAGCAAAGACAGCACCGACATGGCCAGCTCTGCGAGAGACAGAAACTCTGACTTCGACTCTCGCCGGGACTTGAATTCGGATATTTTCGATCCGAAATACGCCAGAGACATATTCGAGAACTCCAAAAGAGATCCCTTCGGGATGACCAGGGACCTTTCTCCAAAATCCAGAGACAGCTTTGGTATGCCGTCATCCAGGGACTTTGGCGTGATGCCAAACACTAGGGAGTCTTTTGCCGCAGCTCGTCAGAGTTTCAAGAAGTTAGACCGTGAGGTTGACAGAAGGTCCAGCGTCGCGTCCACTCATCGTACCGACAAAATGGAGAGGATTGAGATCGAAGAATGGCCAGAGTTCCTTAGACCTGTGCTACCACCAGCCGAGAAACCAGAGATCGAAAAGGTCCAAGAGGTCATGAACACGAAGCTCTATCCTCAGACATCTACAGCCCACTTCACATACAACAGAGTGACTTGGACGTTGAGGGTGAAGAAAGAAGTATTCGCGCCTAACGAAACCTTAAATAGTCCCTTGGCGCTTCATCTGGTGTTCTGTCAGGTCGCTTACGATGTCCTGGCCACGTCCAGTATCAGGATCACGAAAGAGGATCGTCAGAACATGCTGAAATTGTTAGATAATTACGGTGTGACGTTAGACAACCTACAGAGCACGCAACATAAGATCACTATTAAAAAGAATGTCGTCGACGTGGCCAAACAATGGCCCCTGTACTTCGCCAGGATATTCCCCGTGTCGGTGAGTGTTCTGCACCTCATGTTCACGATTAATTAAAACGAATTATGCTCGGTTCTTATCCGAGAGACTAGTTGTTGCTAATAATTACCGTGAATGGTGTTTATACGCGGCTAATCATACGTGACGTTCTCGAATGGAAAGTTGCGAAAAGAAAATGCAGGCTAAATTGGTATCGTGTGCTCGATTGCTGGCGAGTCGAAGTTCTATTGCTAGTCCGACTTCGGAAGATTGAATAACCTGTTATCCTTGGGATCTGTAATAGCCGTCATTGTGTCCATAAGTGTCTTCGTCTGCCATTGCTTGACTGTTCGTCCTTAATAGTAGCTATTTTCTACCTTTTTATCTTGCTTTGGAGTTTACGTAGGCCGACGTTTTTATAAGGCCATTGAAATCAATGATATCGAATTGATTGTTCATTCAGATTGGACCACAACATCCAGAGACCCAGCACGTCGCTGTCTCCCATCACGGTTTACGACTGATCAAACGCACTCCGCAAGGAGATCTAATTATCCTGGAGACTCTACCCCTAGAGGACATCGTCTCCGTTAGCTCCCCTCGAGCTGGTGTATGTGTGATGCAGATTTCGTCCGGAGTTCGGCTGCCTTTGCACACGAACCGAGCACCACAATTAACGGAGATGATCAGCACCTACATCAGACTGGTGAGTGAAAAATGTTTAATCTAAATACGTGACACGAATTGGGTCAGTTGGTCTACCAATTAAATGATAAATCCTCTTCTATGGATGAGATCAAGAAATTCCGATTTTCTGTTTATTAACAGAAGTTTTGTACTTCTTTAATTCATTAAACTGAAGCAGTACATGCTACTAGATTTTCATGATCACTATGAGTGACATTTAGAAAAGAAAATTGAATACTGATGAGTGAAAGTACGAACTTAATCAAACACTTTGATTATTAAGTAGGTTGGGATCAAATTGATCTTATTTATAGGTTACAGTTAACTTCAATGATTAGAAATGTAAAAATACTGATCGGTGAAAATCCGCTTCCGTATCCTTTTTCTTTCAATTAACACGCGACAGGGTTATGACTCTTTTCTACGGAAAATAGAACGCGTTGCGCAAAGCGTGCAAAAAGAGCCAAGGATATTTCGAATTTCTGCGGTGAACCGTGCGTTCGACCAACTTATGCTTATCGTTTTCCTCGGCGATCTCCACATTAAAGTTGATAGGATGCTCTTGTAACCGTTACACGCATCGAATTATACGATTCAGAACAGACATAGAATGCGGTTGCATAAATGCTCGATGCTAATTTTTCCCTGGAAATTTAATTCGACAACGAAACAGTGTAGAAGAATTGCGGTTCATTTTCTTGCACCTATTGTAGCTCAATTTAGTAAAGAAAAAAGTCTGTGGCGTTAGATAACAATTCGACCAATGTAGGTTACTAAATGTTAACATCCGTTTTCACGAACCCGATTCACGATTAATCTTTAATACCGAGTCATTATCAAAGCTCTGATACACATCTATTATCCGATTAATTATAAATGCATCCGAAATTTACAGTTTCTTCTAGAGTGTAGCTGCAAAATCTAATAGTCAGTTAAAATGTAGTCGAATATTAAAAACATTATCAATCTATTTTCATCGAGAATTACATTGTTGTGTAAAAGAATAATAGTAGATTTTAACAATATACAATCAAAATTTTTCTTTCATTTTTACCCGAAGAAAATCAGTAACGGAGAAACAATTTCTATTTAACCTTGCGTGATCCCCGTTATTTTTACTGTTTCCGTTACCCCCTGGATCTTTTTTCTCTAGACCTATTTGTTTCCCCTTATAGACATCCAAAAAATTAAAAAAAATCCCTGGATACTTGCCAAGATCTGTACTACACGATCCAACAATTTTTAAAGTTTCTTTTAATAACAATCCCTTTTATTTCGTAGATATTCGAAAGCGAAACTTCTCTTGTTCCATAAAAGACCCAATGTGGCCAACGAAGGTTAATTCCAGTTTTTTCGTATATTACCCTACGATAAATCTGAAGTTGTATAAACATTCTCAGTCTACTGATCCAATGAAGGAATCCCTCGGTCGAACGTTTCGATTTCTCACGGAAAACTGGTTGCTCTCGCGCTACCATCCCAGCACGCTAGGATCCCCGAAGGTCGGCAGCTGCGTTTAGATCTTGCGCAATTAATCGCAGCTGGGTGAAGTAACGCGATCGCACGTGTGGAAATCGGTACGCGGCTGTAATAAGCCCCCGGACAAGGATAACGACGATGATGGGAGGGGGGTTGGGGGAACGGGGCAGGTTAGGAGGCGCGCGTCCGACAGACAACGCATTCCAACGCGATAATGCGTGGGTAGCGGAAAGCAAACCCACGATTTCCTCGTGAAACGACGAACCGGAGGGGTAACGACGTCCCGAGGGAGGCGTCTACGCGTGTCGCTGGCCACGCAGAAAAACGGAAACATGACCTCCGGGTCCGTTAGGACGGTTTCGTTTGCTAGGGGAAGACAACGGTGCAGAAAACGGGTTTGAAATGATACTAAGTGTGAAGTATAATATACACTTACTACCGTAAAAACACCTAAATGATTATGTAAAAATGTGTCTTCGTTTGGAGACATTCCAAATTACATAGCGAACACTTAAACAAACCCCTTGGAAAGGGTAAATTCTGAATTTGACATTATATTGTGAGATTGCTGAGTTCTATGAGAAAGCAAATAGAAGAGAAAATTGAGTTTAGTCGCTGTTAAGTCTGGATTTTGATGTTACAAATTTTTGTGTGACACCGAAATGATTTTTTCGAAATGTGTTTTCGTTTTGGAAAAATTCCAAATTATATAGCAAACGCTTAAAATAGACGCATTGAAAGAGTTAAGATCTGTATGTGACATCTCACTGATATTTATAATAAAGCTAATAGAAGTCAAATTTGAGTTGAGGCACTGTAAATTCGGGTATTGAATGTACATAATTCTGTGGAGAGGATCGTCACGAGGTTTGGCAAACGTTTCTGTGGTCACTTATAGATGAGATCCCTGTACCTTGTCTGTGAATTGTAGTAATACCTCTCTATAGTTGCATAGCCAAGGTTTAAGAATGCGTTTATAGAGAGCAGTGGACACTATTTAGAGACCACATTATTGGCCTGTCCTCTCTTTTACTAATGAAATGATGGAATTGCCAAAATGCTGAAAGAGTACAATTCATTTAATACGGAATTTTACATGAAAATATAATGCATGGAAATTGTATTCTCGAATACTTATTTTAAAGGATACATGTACTCTTTGCAATTTTTTCCATGAATGGAATTTATATCTCGTTGGTATGATAGTAAAAGTAATAAGAATATGGAATCCGCAAGATGCGATTACAGAGAAATATTATTGTATTCTTCATGGTACGTTTGATTAATTGCTTCTGGATTGAGTAGGATGTTCCTCCAGGTTTTCCATTTCCTCGTTTTCTTGTCACTCTGCTGCACCAGTTGGATGCATAATATAAGTGCTTCTGGTTTTGCGCTCGTTTAAGAAATGATGAACGAGATGATTGCTCGGATAGTTACTTTTATTGTGATCCTAAGGGCATTCAAGAAATGATAAAACCTTTTGGTACTTGGGCTTAAGGATGTTGATGATTTATTAGAAACGAGGGATGATATTTCGGAGAATTAGGATTTATTTTGCAATAAGATATAGTTTGAAAGGTGACAGGTTGGTTAATTATGTTCGAACGTTGATTCTTAGATTTAGAGTCAATTTATTGCTACCTGGAATCACCAGACAGCAGATGTTTATGCAAATTTTAAGGACTGATTTATTAAATGTGAAATTAAATAGAAGGTTATTATCCCAGCGAATACTGAAATTCCTATAACATTTTAATGTGTTTCACTCACCATTAGTTGCATCTTCTATGAACTCATAATTGATCAATTATCCGAACAAAGGGTTTATATGAAGGTAATTCTTCTATGTGTTAATTTCTTAAATCTTTTTATCTCGATTCTTAGCAGAACTTGGAGCCAACCGATCAAAAACCACATAATAATTGCAGAAATTACCATGCATCAGTTCGTAAAATTATCGAATTTGTTCCACAGTTAGTCAATCAACGTTTTCACGCTTTAACCGATTATCATTCGGCACAGAATTTCAATCAATTCCCAACGTTTCAACTCCATCAACGTGACGAATTAACACACGAATTATTCTTTTGCCCGTCAGTTGAACATTGAATGTCCTACACCGTGTGTGAACGGCATCGAGTTCCGAAACGCCCTGCACGATGTCTTTGAATGAGGATTATCAGGCGTGTAAAGAAACTGTTCGCGGATAAGAAAGCCCAACAATTGCGGAACGAAATTGTACGCAACAATAGCTTGTAATCTTGTCAGCTGTGGCATGAATGGAATCCGGATTAATTATCACAAAAGAGGCTCGACGATCTATCGACGAATAGATGATGAGCCGTGTTTTGATGGCTCGTTTCACCGTTATTTCGAAATTCCTGTTCGACCCCGATCCATTCTTCGCTGGGTAATATCTGGCAAGTCTACTGCTAGAGGATGATAAAGTGCCTGAAATTAGTGCTGTCTCAAATTTTACCCAAACTGCCGTTTCATGAATAGTTGAAAGTTAATCCGTTGCAATTTGCATATCAAGTGTAATCTACAAATCTGCAATCCTTTAGCTTCCTTCTTTATCCGTCTACTTATAAATGAATAAAGAACTAGTCTTTCTTCACCTTCTTCAATTTTTACTAATTTTTGCATCGCTTTAACAATTTTGTACCGCTCTCTGAGAAAGTTTTCTGTTTCAGAATCTTCAATTTTTTAGCTTCGTTCATTTCATTCGTCTACGTAACAATTGAATCAAATATTATTATTCCATTCAATAGTTGTTTTTGTTTGAATATCCTAATTCTAAGATACTAAAGTTTTGACGAAGATTATCTTTAAAGAAATATTCGTACTGTAAAGAAATATGATTCTACAAGAACGTCTTTCCCACCAGAAACGAATCATCCACCACTGAATATTAACACCGATGCGACGATATTCGTGCGACAGTGCAACCTCCACATTGAACCAGGCACCAGTGAGACCAGTCAATCGATCGGTCCTATCATTTTACTCCTGCGATCAATGGCGTAGCAAAGCTCCCACAAACAAGCAAACCAAGACAAGCCAAACCGCTTGGAATAATTACTTTCACAGGATACCTCTGTGTATCCTTCGAAAATCGACACTTTCGATTTCAACGAGATTCCAATAGCTTTCCACAATTTCTATCAGGAGAGAGAAAAAATTTCACTATTCCGCGCGTAGCGTTCTAAAATTGTATACAATTAGAAAGGAACATTCCAAAGGAAGCTATCTCTGTGTACTGAAGAAATTCCCTTTTCAATATTGCCCCAAAGGTTGTGGAGCTACATTTAGGAAATCGAGATAGCCATCGGAGCAGTTCTTTATAGAAGACGATCGTGAACTGTCTACGATGATGATAGGTCGCCAGATACGGTTTACCAGCACAAAGAAAAAGAGAGGAAGAAGGAGGCATTGGCCAGCATATATGACCACTCACTGGAAACGCAATTTACACTAGGCGTTGCCCCGAGGTTGCCTCGTTACATACCGCGGCATGTGTGCGTCGTCCTGTTAGAATTT